AAATCCAGGGGCAGGGGCTGCACAAGCTGTGCTGGGGCTCCTGCTGGCTCCTCTCAGCAGCATTCCCTTCCCATTCCTGTCCTTCCTCTTCCTCACAGGCAGGAGTTTTCCCCCTGGGCTAAAAGATCTGCCTTTATCTCCTCGTGGCAGCACCAGGCCTCTGAGGAAGCAGCTCCCTCCAGCAGAGGGTAGCAATGCCTGTGCACGCTCCCAGATAAGAGGATTTTTAATGATTTACAGAAGAGCCTCATCCCCTGAGCCTCTGACTTGTGGAGGATGGAGCATCCCTCCCCCCTGGGCACTGGCAGTGCTCGGCTCTGAGAGCTGGAGGGGAGCTTTCTGCCCTCTCCCTGGAAAAGCAGAAGCCTCCCAGACGTCCCTGCAGAGATCCCAGGAGCTGTTGCCATCGCTGTTCTCTCAGTTATTCCACGTTTCCTAGATGCAGAGCCGTGGATTTGGCCACTTGCCTAAGCAAAGAGAACCCTGTCAGAGGTTCTAGCTCAGGATGCCAGTTGGAAAGAACATTTAGATATTTAATTGCCCTTTTTTTTTTTTTTTTCAGCCAGCCAGCAGCCAGGACTGTCTCCACAGAGCTGCTCCTCCAAAACCCAAGTGCCTGTGTTTGGCTTTTTTAAACAATTTAGCGACGTCTCTCTAAGCCAGTTAGGGATGATCTCCTTTAAAGGTTAATTGAATATTCCTTGCAACTTTGATGTACATTTCTCTGTTGAGAGAATTGCTCTATTTGGCAGCCAGGCATTAAAGGGGTGGTTTTCACCAACGGGCCAAGTCTGAAAAATAGAGGAGGAGGAAAATGGGAAGCGAGAACTGAATTTGTCTTGTTGGTTTTTGGGGTTTTTTTCCCCCTTCTGCTGCTGCAGCAGCATTGAAGCAGAGCAGGGATAGGGGGATAACAGCCTGGGAAACAAGAGAGGGAGCTGAAGGGTGAGGGGACAGCAGCAGCAGATGCTTTTGCAGCAAGGCCTGAGATTGCAGAAGTTGCCTTTTCTCAGCTCCCACCTCACTGAGCATCAGGCAGGGGAGGAAAATACCCACATTTGGACAAATCCAGGGTGTAACTGGTATCACAAACAGGGAAGGGCAGCACAGAAATAATCAGGTTTGGAGCTCAGCTTTGTGAAGTCAAGCCTAGATTTGACACAGAGGTTAGTTTGCTGGAAGATCCTTAGTTCCTACCCCAGAGAAGTTCTTCCTCTGATACTCCCGGTTTTCCTAAGGGTAAGGACAGGGATTGAGGGGTCTCAGCTGCTGCCAGGGCCAGTTATTTCCCCTCCTGTTCCTCAGACAGTCCCCAGCCTGTGATTTCAGGAACATGCCCCAGCCCAGCCCCTGGCTGTTCATGTCCTCACCTCCCTGGCCATCCCCAGAGCGAGGGAGAGCAGGGCTGGGCACCCTGGCAGGGCTCCTGGTGCCCCTGAACCCAACAAGGCTGAGAGAAACCTGCTTTATGGTCCCCCAGACGCAGCAGGGAGGTGCCAGAAGTGGCACCTGGAGGAGGTGAGAAGGTGAGGGAGCCAAAAGTGGCACCTGGAGGAGGTGAGGGAGCAGAGAGGGGACCCAGCTGGGCAGCCAGGGAAGGTGGGCTGGGCAGTGTGGCCACCAGGAGCACGGGGGGCAATGCCAGCCCTGCTCCTGGCTGCTTTTCAGCAGCCTGGGAGAGGGGGAGAGACAATAAAAAGCAGGAGGATTGCAAACAGAGCCCTGTCTCCATGGCAGCCTGCGGCACCGCTTCTAAATTTTCCCTGAAGGTGGAGAGGATGCTTTTCTCCCCTGTGTGATCCTGGGGGGGGTTGCAGCAAGAAAGGGCCTTAGCCCAGGTGTTTCCTGGTGCCTGGGGAGGTTGGTGGCTTGTGGAAGGATCCCTTGGTGCTCCCATCTTGTCAGAACCCGGGGGAAACGCTCTCTGGCCCTCGTTCCCCCCGTGATTAGGGGGACGGAGGAAGACACGTGCAGAGCCCGTGGAAGCAGCAGAGCTGGGAGGAGAAGTATTTGGGGCTCATCTCGAGTTACACCAAGTCCTGGCTATTTTTAGCCCCACAGAACAAAGCCCTTCCATCAGCTGGACCCCGGGGGAGGTGCGGGGGGGACACCAAACCCAAACCAAACCCAACAGCACCGGGCGCGGAGCTGGGGCTGCACAGGCAGCAATCACAGGGTCCAGGAGGGGATGCCCAGAGAGCCCTCGAGCTGCCCAGAGCCCCCCAGCAGGCAGGGTTTTTGGGTGCCCAGCCCTGGCAGATTGTGTGGGGCGAGGTGGGAAATGGATGCGCGAGGAGGGGCCCGGCGGCTCCGAGCTCAGCTGTCGCCCACCCCGGCACCACCTGCCAGCCCCAGACGGCTCCCAAAATAACCAACCCCGGCCCCCTGCACCTGCTGCCTCGCAGGGATGGGCCACCCTGGGTGGGACCTGCTGGGAGGTGTCACCTCTCCCCCCCCAAAAAACCCTCCCCTGTCAGCAGAGGGGGTCCTGCCCCGCTGGTGCTGTGGCTGTTCCCCCGTGGATCTGCTGGTTCCCGGAGTGGGAGGGGGGTGAATTCACCAGTGAGAAGGTGGTGGCCGTTCCCTGGTGACAGTGTCACCACCCAGGTGTGCCCGGCCAGCCCCCGAACCTGCAAACAGACAAAAGCAGGGGGGAGCAGGGGGGAGCAGGAGCGGCATTTCTGAGTTCCCAATTAGCAGGGCTTTAATTGCAGTATTAGTTGCTCATTAGTGGGAAAAGCCAGATGCTGGGAGGAATTAGCTAAGCTGAAAAGATCTTTCTCTCCACCCCAGGAATATTTAAGTATGTCTCATACAAGTGTTTCCTTTGTCCCCGGAGCATGACTGATATGACTTGTGTGGGTGCCGTTGAATCACTGATGAGCTCCAGAATCCCTGTGACAGGAGGCTGCTGGCAGGGGTGGGAATAAAACTGGGGAGGTCTGGGTGGCACAGGTAGGGTTTGGCATGTGGCTGGGAGCTCTGGAGGGCCCTGGAGTTAATTTAACCTGAAACAGAGGGGGAAAGCACTTGGGCTCTGGGCTGAGCAGGGAGCTGGGAATGCCACAGGCAGGACTGAGGGTGACCTGCAGAAACGTGGGGTGTCAGGAGAGCAAGGAAGAGCTGCAGACCAAGCCAAGGTGGATATAACAGGGAGGCCCAGGCTCCTGGGATATTCCCACTGTTCCCTGCTGATGCTGTGCCTGCACCCAGCCATGCCCGTGGGAACAGCCCCTGTCCGAGGTCAGACAGGGGCAGCAGGGGAGGGGCTGGGGGGTCTGAAGCCCAGCTCCTCACAGTGCTTGGCTTTCCTTGCCCCTGGAGCTGTTTCATCCAAACTGCAGCTCTCTGGGGAGAGCTGAGGCCTTTCAGCTCCAGAAATCCCTCCTTGCCCCGTGCACAGCCACACTGGGCTGGCTCAGGAAGTGATGCTCACACGGGACAGCCTCCAGTGGGCTGGGCAGGGAGCAGCAGCTTCCCAAACAGCCCCTCAGTGGCACCAGTCCAGCTCTGACCGCTGGCTGGGCTGGCAGGTGGGAGCAGGAGGGGCAGGGGATGATGTTGTGTCCCCCATCACCACACTGCTGGGTGACATTCCGAGCCCGAGGATCAGTTCAGAGAATCACAGAACGCCCTGAGCTGGAAGGGACTGAAAAGAATCAGAGTCCAGCTCCTGGCCCTGCACAGACACCCCAGCAGCCCCACCCTGTCCCTCAGAGCGTTGTCCAAACCCTCCCGGAGCTCTGGCAGGTTTGGGGGGCCGTGCCCAAAGCCTGGGGAGCCTGTTCAGTGCCCAACCACCCTCTGGGGGAAGAACCTTTCCCAAATATCCAACCTGACCCTGCCCTGACACAGCTCCAGGCTGTCACACCTCCCCAGCCCAGCCATGACCTCCCCATGGGCTGGAACTCCCCACTGGCTTCTCCTGGGAATTAAACAGCTGCTGGCTGTGGTTGTGACCTTTCAGCCACCAGCAACGAGGTTTGTCTCACTTCTACGTCCCTCTCGGGCTGTGGGACAGAAGGAATAACAACCCACCCCTCTCCCAGCCCGGGTGTCTGCTCAGAACAGCAGGGTTTGCTGCGGAGGAAACACGAGGCTCTGCAGAAACGCAGGTGCTGGGAGTCACAGGACTCTGCTGACACCAGGTTTCTGGGGGTTGAGCAATCGTCTCCGGGCAGGGACAGGAGCCTCTCCCTGCTCGGCCCCAGGGGAGCGGTGGGAGCAGCGTGGAAGCAGGAGCAGTGTGGAAGCAGGAACAGCACGGTGGGTGTGGAGCCCAGACCCTCAGAGCTCGCCCTGCCAACGTGATTCACTGTTAATTTGAGAAATTCCTCTCGTTCCAGGACTGGCTTCCCCAAACAGTCCCACCTACATCCTCCCGGGGATGATTTCACCCTGCTCTCCCAGCAAAGCCACATCCCTGGGCAGGAGCTCCACGCAGGGAAGGGAAGTGCCCGCAGCTCCTCCAAGCCCTTCCCAAAGCTGATGCTGGATTCAGCGCTGATTCCTGGCTTTTCCAGCAGGAGGAAGGGTGACACAAATGCCCTTGGCCTG